CCCCCCCCCCCCAACCCCCCATTCCTGTTCATCCCCTCACCCAACTTAATCCGCTCTGGGATTAGGCTCAGAGGCCCGGTGGAATGTAAATCATAATACCGATGCCCTGAAAACCCAAGCGGGCGGGAGGGTGCACAGAGCCTCTGTCTCCCTCAGCGCCGGAGTGCGGGGCGGAGGCCCGTGGCCAAGCTCTCCCCCGGGCGTCTTGCCGGCTAGATGCATCTCTCCCCTGTTGCAGGTTAAAATGCAAAGATTGAGGTGCGGGCGGCAGCCGACCCGAGAGGTTCTGGAGGATTCCCGAGAGGATTAGCGTATTCATTTGTCGCTTAGGCGGGCGACCGGGGAGGCAGCTTTGCAGGAACAAAAAAGGAGGTCTGTGCATCCTCACAGTGCACTGCTGTGAAGACCCCATTTGCCCAGGGAAGAAGTTTATAGTTGATTTCCCTTTTGCCAAAGGAGACCCAGGCGTAGGGCTCAGAGGTGACGGTAGAGAGGAGAGAAGTGACTCTGCCCGAAAAAGACCTCCCCGGGAGGGCTGATCGATCCTTGCTCCTGCCTCTTGGGCAGGGCTTGCAGGGAACTGTGCCCGCCTTCCCCGCGTCCCCACCACCGGGTGTTCGCTGGGGGTGGTGAAGGAGCCTCGGTCTTCCCAGATGCACCCGATTCTCTCTTAAAGCCGTGCTAAAAGCGCCATCCACCCCAGTCTAGGCTCGGACACCTGTCCCCAGACGTCCTCCGAGTGCCCCCACCGTATCCCAGCGAGGTTGGGCTCCTGGAGCTCAGCGAGCCCGTCCGCTTCCCTGGTGCCCGGGCCGGCTCGCTTACCCCACGTTCCGGGCTCGGCCCCGCGCCGAGGCTTTTGTTCGCAGCTCGCTGCTTTCCTTGTGCCTCTTCAGTCCTTTCGCCGGCGGGGTCGGATTACTGCCGGCCGCAGCCGCGATAGGAGCTCACCTTAGCTAGGCAGAATGAAGGACTTGCTCAGATTTTTTCTCAGCCTGAGAAGCAAACAATCTTGATGGCAAATAATTTGATAGAACTACGGCTCCTGATCTGAACCATGACTATTTTTTTAAAGAAAAATCAAGGACATTCAAATAGGTTTGAGGCAGGCGGAAGATGTGTCTAGGGTTTAGTGCAACATTTTAGCACTTCCTGGTTCCAGACAATACAGATTAAAACCAGTCAGTGCCAGTAAGTGAGTGCTATTTAGAGACACCTCTTCACCACCTCTTATCCAGTTTGTGCGGCAGTGGCCGCAGCAGACAGGTGGAAGGTGTGCCTAAGGGAAAGAGTTGGAGGGTGGGGGGGACATAACATTTAGGGAGCACAGTGAACTCTGTCGTCAATAACCTTGACGTTTCGGACAGGCAGTGAGGAGCAAGTGAAAGGCTTAGAGCAGGGAAATGACATGGTTTGGTTTATATTAATACTTTAGGAACATAGCTCTGGCAAGGATGGAGTGAAGGCTTTGGGGGGCAAAAGGGAGGCAGGAAGCCAAGTTTCCTGGACACTACAGTCACCCAAGGCAGGAAGGACTGGACCCGAGGAGAAACAACAGTAGGAGGCTTGGGCGCAGTGGGAGGTAGGGGTGTCCAGATTCCTGAAATAGTAAGAGAAGCAATACTCAAAGGGAACTTGGCTTTGGGGTGTGAGGAGCAGCGGAGGGGCAGGGATGACTTCCTGGAGCGACAAGCTGTCTGGGTGTACCACAAACCTAGAACGTGGGTCCTAGAGGGAGGATTAGGCGGTGTGAAGGGCCAAGGAAGCGTGGGTCCCTTTTAGGACCACCTGACTTTGAGGTGGAGCCATTCATCTGGGAAGATGAGTGGTTAGGTGGCTAGTAAGTTGTGTCACAGGTCTGGACTGAAGCTAGAGTTTATCACAGTTTTTCCAGTAGTTGTGTATGGATGCAAGAGTTGGACCATAAAGAAAGCTGAGCACTGAAAAATTGATGCTTTTGAACTGTGGTGTTGGAGAAGACTCTTGAGAGTCCCATGGACTGCAAGGAGATCCAATCAGTTAATCCTAAAGGAAATCGGTCTTGAATATTCTTTGGAAGAACTGATGCTCAAGGTGAAGCTCCAGTACTTTGGCCACCTGATTCAAAGAACTGATTCACTGGAAAAGACCCTGATGCTGGGAAAGATTGCAGGAAGGAGGAGAAGGGGACAACAGAGGATGAGATGGTTGGATGGCATCACCGGCTTGATGAATGTGAGTTTGAGCAAGCTCTAAGAGGTGGTGATGGGCAGGAAAGCCTGGCATGCTGCAGTCCGTGGGTTCGTAAAGAGTCGGACATGACTGAGTGACTGAACTGGACTGAATTGAAACATATTTGAGGTTCTCAAACAGTGTGAGTGAGACCATCCAGGTAAGGCAGGTGAAGCAATCGGGAGGTGGGCAGGGATGGGGATGCTAGGGAAGAGGAGTCCATGAAAGGGACCAATAAGGACAGGCAGAAAAGTGCAGTCTTATGGAATCTAATGGTAGTGCACTTCAGAATGGGGGGTGTGCCCCTCGTGTTAGGCTTTAAATGTTCAGAAAGGTTTTGTTTGAATCAGATGCCCACTGAAGCTGGCAGTAAGACAGTCTTTGGTGACATCAGCAGAAATAGCTTCAGTAGTGTCCTGGGAGCTGATGTCAAACCACAGGAGGTTGAGGTGTAGTGGGAAGTGAGAAAGTGAAAGTTATTGACTTTTTTTGACATTTGGGTGAAAGTGTTAAAGACTGTGAAGGGCATGAGATTTTATCCTACTTTCTTGCTAATAAGTTAGCCTGCCACTATTCATAGATGTTCACAGAAGACATGAAACTCTGGGTCAGAAACAAAGGACTTTGTTATTCACGGTACAGCAGATGGCATGATGTTTGTGTTTTTGTTGATCCCTCTTGCTCCGCAAGTCTCATGGGGCAATGGAAATGTGGATTCAGATAGGTATTGTACATGGGTTTGTGTCACAGCTGAGAGAGACCCTAAGCTTAGTAGTGGGTATGCCTGCTAAGTCGCTTTAGTCGTGTCCTACTCTTTGCAACCCTAGGTGGGTGCTAGTGGTAAAGAACCTGCTTGGCAGGTAAGGAGATGTAAGAGATGCAGGTTTGATCCCTGCGTCAGGAAGATCCCCTGGATGAGGGCATGGCAACCCACTCCAGTATTCTTGCCTGGAGAATCCCATGGACAGAGGAGTCTGGAGGGCTACAGTCCATAGGGTCAAAAAGAGTCAGACATGACTGAAGCGACTTAGCACACATGCTGCAAATTTAGGGTCACTCGGCCATGTAGACCATACCCTTTTAAAGGGGGCTGCTGGCAAACCTGTTTAAATTTTGCCCCCAAGGGAGCCATTATGTTTGTTATCCTGGGAGAAAACAAATCTTCCCTCTCACATTGAGGGAAACACTATCTCTGTCTTCCAAGGAGGTTTGTTGTACAAACATCCTTGAAAAGTAGTCTAGAATAACAGCCTTTACAAGACATATGGAAATGCCATGAACTGCCCTCAGTAGAGAAAAGGAGTGATTGGTCAGATGGCTAGTAAGAGATAAGGCTGGGCTTTAGACCTGGCTCAGTCTCATCCTGAGTGGGTCCTGTGCATTGTATTTCCACTCCAAATTAAACCTCTGGAGAGACGTGGATTCAGATGGAGATAAATGGGGTGGTCAGGTCAACCTGCTCAAACCTGTTTACTTCAATTTTCCCCTCCTTACATAAGATGCTACTAAATTGCTTATCTCAAGGATTAATAATGTCTGCTATGTAAATGTCATCTTTGTTCTTAAATAAGACCGTAATAGCCACCTTTCAGGGTTGTTGTCAGAACTGGAAATTAGGCAAAGTACCTAGACCGACACATTTCAATGAACAGTGATAAAATCATTGATATATTTTTATGAAAAAAAATGTTAAAATTTATTTTTGGTTGCTCTGGATCTTCGTTGCTGCATGCAGGCTTTCTATAATTGTGGTGACGGGCTTCTGAGTGTGGTGGCTTCTCTTGTTGCAGAGCAAGGGTTCTCGAGTGTAGAGTCAGCAGTTGCGGTACACAGGCTTAGTTGCTTTGAGGCATGTGAGATCTTCCTGGACCAGGAGTTGAACTGGTGTCCCCTGCATTGCAAGGCAGATTCTTAACTGCTGGACCACCAGGGAAGCCCCCTTACTATTTATTTTGAAAAATCTCACCTAATAGGTGTGATCAGAATAAGGACACGTGTAGTGTCTGTGATATATTAAGGGAAAGCCCAACACATGTTTCACCCTTGATTAAGAAATGATTCTTTACCTGGGAGGGTTACTGGAGCAGAGGTTGCTAGGATAGTGACCTAGCCAGACAGTTCAGCATTGATGGGGCGCCATTGAAAAGTCAGATAGGGCTCACCTCTCTTCTTTAAGTGCCTTGGACATTTCAGGAGTTGGGTTTCACCCAGGTTAAGCTTTGATTTCCTCTAGGTTGGGAGTCCCAGCCTGCCAACAGTCAGGCGCATTAAATCCAACTTTATTAGGGTACCTAGCAAAGAAAGCGGCCCAGCTTGGGAATACCCACCTGTCCCTTGTAAGTGGGGTGGTGGACATAGGAGCTTTAGGAATCAGTTTAATCATTCACATTCTGGCTCGGCTGGCCTCTATGAGTTGAGGCAAGTGTCTTAACCCCCTTCAGTCTCAGCTTCCTGAAAAGAAGGCACAACATGGACTTTGTCTTGCAAAGACCCTTAGAGATAAAAATTTCTTAAGTACCCCACTAGATCCTTTAATATAATAGCTCACTGTCTTAGTCAGTTTGGGTTGCTATAACAAATTACCATAGACTGAGTGGTTTAAAAAACAAATTTATTTCTCACTGTTCTGGAGATGGAGAAGATCAAGATACCGGCAGAGCCAGTGCTTGGTAAGGACCCACTTCCTGGTTTCTAGATGGCCGTCTTTATGTATCTTCACACGGCAGAGGCAATCCTTTCCTGTCTTTTCCTGTAAGGACACGAAGCCCATCATGAGGGCTCTGTCCTTATACCCTAATTACATCCTAAAGGTTCCATCTCC